TGTATCATGTCACTCCTCTGGAAAAAGCCTCCAATGTCTTCCCATCAGACTTGCAATAAAAGTTAAACTCCTATCTTGTCTCCAGCCCATCTCTCCAAACTTAACTGGGTTGCATGTTTCACCTCACTCCCTGCGTTTCGGCCAGAATGGCTTTCTTTTTGTTCCTCAAACATGTCATGCTTGTTTCCATTTTAGGACTTTACGGGTCCTCCTCTCTGCGGGAACTCTCACAGGTCTTCATTTGGTTGCCTCTGTATTTGTATTTTTTTTACACAGCATTTATTGCTGCATGAAATTTTTACCTACTTTTTATTGTCTGCCTTCCCTACTAGAACCTTAGTTCTACAAGAACAGGGTCTGTTTCATTCATTGCTATAACTATTACTGATACATGAAGGCATTCAAAACCTTTTGGAATAAATGAACATAGTAAAACCCTCTGAAATTACTTGACTAAAAATCGTTGATATAATAGCTGTTGTGTTGGGCTCTTACTTTATTGTTCTTAGTGACTGAGTTATAGGAGATCATACCAAGAGTATTTTTAGCATATACTTAATCTCTTCACAGTTGGTTGTAAATACACATTAAGCATTAAGTATTTATACCAGTTAGGTGTCTACATTCCACTAATGGACAGAAATAAAGCGTTGATTGAAATTCATGTTAATATTTCTGTACAACCATGACCATCTAACTGATTTATAATTGAGAGTAAAAAATGAGTAGTTATATTAAAGACATTTAATGCCAAGTTTCTAATGTGTTTTATTTTTTGATTAACAGTAAAAATAACCACTGTTAAATTACTTTGTCTAAGTAATTTTGGCAGCAAAATCTAAATAATAACTATTTCATAATCTTCCCAATCTTTGTAGTAGCAGCTTTACATGTGGAATCATTTCCAGTGAGAAAATTANTCCGGGAGTCATAGCTGCACGGAGCACAGCTAGGTCAGAAACTCTGCCAAATTGGCAGAGAGATGCTCCACTATGGACATGCTGTCTACCCTGGTCAGGACAGATTCAGGAACTAGGGCAGGATTTTGCCCACAGATGGAGAATATCTGTGGACCTAGAAGAAATAAGACAGTGCTCAGCAGTAGTGAATTCCTCAGACTCAATAAAATTTAGATATGAGCTAGAAGTCATAACATCATCTCACTCATTACACCGTTTTGTATTTTGGTTGATAATTTGTCTTTTTAAAATTATGTAATTTGCTTTATAAAAGTTAAAGTCAGTATATTAAAATTCCATAATAATTACTGCTTATTTCTTCCATTAAGTATAGACTTCATTTAGGGTAACCACATATCGCTAGACCAAATCCATTAAATTATAGGGGATATGTATGTTCAGATATTTTAGCCTACTATTATTTTTCTTCAAGAGAGAAAAGTTTAAACCAAACCATATTTAGAAAAAACAAAAAGGCATGGAACACATAGTTGTAAATGCCGAGGAGCTGAAAGGAAAACTCATTTCAGTTGAGAGCCTAAGTGATTGGCAAGGAAGAGCCGATAACACAGAAAGCCGAGTGTCTGGAGGCCGAGTCCCATTCCACACTCTGCATGTGCAGACGTGAGACAGCAAGCTGCACACCCACGTCCTGCTCTGACCTTGTCATGAGCCACCACCCCCTTGGACAAGTCATTTCATTTCTGTGCACCTCAGACTTTCCTTATATAAAATGAAAAGATTGGGATAGATTTTCTTTTTAGGTTTCTTTCCACTCTAAATTTCCAAAATTCCATGAAAATGAAAACCTGGTCCATGGCATTAAAAGTTTACCAGGGGATTTAGATGATAACAGAGCTATGGCCCAAATTGTATTTGATTTCAACAGTAATAGTGAGGCAACGGGAACATGTAATATACTCTTCATGGAACAGTGATAGAAGTGACTGATGTTCTTGTGATTAATTCCATTTTACTCTTCTGCCTGTTACTTGTATCTGCTCTTTAATGCCATCTCTCTGCCTTCATGAAGTAATCTATCTACTTAAGCCTCACTCCTGAAGATACAGAAGTCTTTCTAGTCCTTGTACATGTGCAAATGCTACACTGACCAGTCTTAATATTGTTGTGTTCTAGAGACCGTGTAATTGGTTTGATGATGACTGCCTGTGATCTTTGTTCTGTGACAAAACTGTGGCCAGTTACAAAATTGACAGCAAATGATATATATGCAGAATTCTGGGCAGAGGTATGTCCTCAATTCTTACATTAATATAGATAATATCAAGAAATGGGAAAATATTTGAGGAGAAATTAAAAATATGGATAATTCACTAACAATATTTTAGTTGCTCATGTTGCTAATAATTTCAGAAAACTATGTTCAGTCACATTTGATAAAGGATTTAACAACTATGC